GATGAAGTAGAATTTCATGTCGATGTAAAATCCGGAGCTGAATCTGCATAGTTTAAGTTTGATAATATCGAGCTTCGGTTGAGAGAGTGGAAATTAGTCGCAATACAGTTTGGAGTTTTGTCACTAGATTATCTAGAAACTGTCTGAAAATTAGTCTGGAAATAGTCTAAAAATTAAGAAACTTCTTACAAAATACTAGGTCACAAATTTCTCAATAAAAAGAAATTTTTGTCAAAAAACGGGCAATAAAATTGCGAGTTTCAAGATAAAGTTGCGACACTGGATATAAACCGCGGACTTGTGGAAGCTAAATTTGGTGTAAATCGAAAGTCTGGAAAACGATGCTTGCAGATAATTTTTTGGTTTTTAAGGACTTAATTTCTCATTTTTCAAATTGTAAGCTTTGTTTAAAAAAAAACAGAGAAACAATATTAAAAATTAAAATAATGATAACTATGAAAAAAAAAATAATTGCATCAGCTACAAATTTTAGCACGGAAAGTATGCAAGTTGTCGCAAAGGTCGCAAACGCTTTCGCCATGGCCACGTTGGTCATAGACAATTTTTCGAACGTTTTTGTTCCGACTTTCGTTACGAAAGTAACGGAATATTTGTGCTCGGGGTGGGTTTTTTTTTCTTCAGACAAATTTCGACTTTTTAACTAGCCATTTTTGACGGAATTTTTTTTTATCATTCGAAAGCTATTGATGTCTTGAGCTTAAATTGGAAATGATATTTTACCTGTGATCATTTTTTGTAAAATTATGGTGGTTTAAAGATTGCCATTTTGGCCAATTTGGGACAAATAACACGCGATAAATTTCGCGCTATTAACGCGTAAGCTGAGACTTAATAGGTCTTAGAAATTGTTCCAAATTGGTTCAAAGAAGCTTATTTGCCATAACTAATTTGTTTCAAGGAGCGAAATTTATAGTTTTGTACTTTATATGGCGTGTGGGGAGATAATTTTCATAGAAAAATTTTCAAATTTTGGAAAAAAGTTTTTCATCTATTATATATTTAAATGCGGGCTTCACTATCTCGCCACGTTTAAGTTTTTTCAACGGATTTTTTTTCTGTCAGGGTTTCCCCGGATCTTGCGATTTCGGCCTGCATATATCAATAAGCAATGAGGTTACGAGATACGGCAATTTTCGAGATTTTTCAAAAATTTCTAGATTAATTTAAGTTTCTGCAAAATTTGAAATCGGGAACCCTGTAGATGGGGGATGTCAGGTATTCTCAGGGGTTGCGAATCTTGCCTCCAAATCTTACTTCTCAAATCCTTGTAGCTTTCGAGATATGACGTTTTTTAATGATTTTTCAAAAAATTTCAAAAAACTCAATATTTAAAAAAAATTCAAAATTTTTGAAGATATCAATCCTCTAGTTTTATTTTATTTCATTTAATTTTTGAATGTTATTACTGCTCCATAAACGTTCAAAGGCAGTCGGAATTTTCAGGGCTTCGCCCTGATACGAGCAGTCTTGTTGATTCTTTATTTCTGCGTTAGTAGTTGTGATTTTATTTCTGCGTTAGTAGTTGTTCTCAACTTAGCCGGAAACGCAAAATGGTCTTATCAGTTTTTGGAAATTGGTAGCCAAAGCAACGTAGTAATTTTTCATCAAATGATTTATCCAAAATTTTAATCGGGTATATTAATCAATTTCGCTGGTCGCTGTCACCATTTCTTCGCGGTCGCACCCGACGCAAACGCATGTACTCAATATGCAAAGTCTAAACAAGACTGCTCGTATCAGGGCGAAGCGCTGAATGTTCCGACTGCCTTTTAAGGTTTATGGAGCAGCAGTAATAACAAAAAAATTAGATGAAATAAAATAAAATGAAGATTTTTTTTTTCTCAAATTTGAAATTTTTTATGAAAATCATCCCCCCACACGCCATATAAAGTATAAGAAGATAGATTTCGTTCCTTGTAACAAATCAATTATGGCAAATAAGCTTCGTTCAACCAATTTGGAACGATTTATAAGACGGATTAAATCTCCGCTTACGCGTTAATAGCGCGAATTATATCGCGCGTTAATTGTCCCAAATTGGTCAAAATTGCAATCTTTAAATCCACTAACTTTTTGGCTGGATAACATACTCTGCGCTTTTTCGGTTGGTTTTGTACATCGGCTGATTCGTTTACAATAGTCTTAAATCTGAGCGTTTTAAATTCCAGAATAACTTCTAATCCTCTTTTAAAAAACGAACATCACAAATAAATTTAAAAATCTAATTGAGTCTGATGTTTTGGTTTTTTGCCGTCTGAAAATCAAACGTACAAGATGGTTCATATATTTAATTTGCTAAAAGCAGTCTCAAAACGCGGTTTTTCTGTTATCTTCTTCGACATTAAGAAAATTTCAAAAATTCGACAGTAAAAAAGCATGAAAAAAAAGTACAATCCAAAATTTGTATTTGTAATTTTTTTTTCTAAAAATTAGAGATCTGAATTTAATCTTTTGCTTATCTATTGTGGTTTTTTAGACATTTTTTGGCAGCCAGGAAGAATGGCATTTAATTTTTTGGCTTTTACAAGTAGAATTCTTGCATTTGGTTGTTGATACCAGTAAAACCAAATTTTTTAACATTTTTTTCCGATTTGTTAAAAAATTGTTCATCTCAGAGGAAAAACAACTTTTTTAATAAAACCAAAAAAGATCTAAAAAAAATTGGTTTTACTGGTATCAACAAACAAATGGAAGAATTCTGTATTTGACAAAATTTTTATTGCGTTTTATGAAGACCTTCAATATTTGTGCTAACGGTAATTTTTCTCCTGAATTTTTTTTGAAACAAGCAATTTTTGATAGAAGTTTGTTAATCTCAGAACTTCTGAGTGGCAAGGCTCAAAGTAAGGATGCATATACAAAACAGTCCCATACAAAACACTTAATACAAAATAATCCAAAAAAAAATCATGTAATGAAGGAAAGAAACAATCCAATACAAAACAATGCGGCTTAACTTCAAGGCGATAACCGGCTCTAAATTTCGTTTTAAGTCCTGCCATCTATTGGCAAGGTTGCAACAAGTTTGCGCCACTGCTGCGGTCACTATTTTGTTCTTTATATTTGTTGACCAAAGGACATTTTTTGGCCTACCGGCTTGTTGAAACAATTATTACTTGGGATCGTTTTTCGGACGGTTTTATATTGGACTATTTTTTTGTTCATTTTCCTGCTTTCCTGCGAAGATATCATGGTTTGAGCTTTGAACTACCCTAGTGACTATATTCAAAATGAAGTAATTAAATATATTTATCGTCCTTAATAAAACCTAAACAGCAATTTAAAGCACTTAAAAATGATCTGAGGCACACAATCTACAACAAAAAAATCTACAAAATTCAATAAAAAATTTTTTCTCACTTTTTTTAGATTAACTATTTGACTAAGTCAAGGGTGTTTGAATTAGACGAAAAATTACAGAATATGAACTAATTTCATCTAAATTACAATTGAAATTTTTCATCTACATCAGTCTGAAAACTGAAATTAATCAGACCAATTTGTCCCTATACTGAGCGTTTTTTTTTTAATTTATAGATTTCAAATCACGACCAAATATGCTTCATTATGATATCAATACCCTTGACCTTGAGCACCCTTGACCTCTGCTAGTTTCTTTGACGTAGTCAAAATAAAAGTGAAAAAAAAATTGGCGCGAAATCAAAGTTCTTGCCCTCCTTCGAGCTGTTGGAACAAAGTTTTGTTTTTCTGCAGCCCAATCAGTTGTTTTTTTATGAACGTCCACTCTGGGTTATTTCTATTTCAAAATAAACAGCGCTCTAAGATATATAATTAGGGGCGGATTTAGGGGGAGACCCAAAGGGTCACCCCTTTGTACAATTTTGAAATATCCATTTTTGGTGACGGACCCCAAAATTTTTCTAAAGGCGATTTGGGCGCCAACATATACTAATTTTGAGGGGGGGAGCGCGCGTCGAAAAAACGCAATTTTTTGGTAACCATTTTCCAAAAAGTGCCTAAAATTGCCACTCTCGGCCTGTTTTTTCAAAGTTTTGCTGCAAAAAGTGCCTAAAACTGCCTTTCTCGGCCTGTTTTTTCAAAGTTTTGCTCCAAAAAGTGCCTAAAATTGCTTTTCTCGGCCTGTTTTTTCAAAGTTTTGCTCCAAAAAGTGCCTAAGATTGCCTTTCTCGGCCTGTTTTTTCAAAGTTTTGCCTGCGGCGCAGAAGTTTTGGCCAAAACAGGGTCTTTGTACTGCTTTGTGAGAGCTCAGTAAATCATATTGGTAAATCATAAACACTTTTTTGAAAATCCCGCCCACCCCTCGAGAAAATCCTAGTCCGCCCCTGTATATAATGATTAAAACTTTTTCAGTGAAAAACAGATTAAAATTTTTCCCAACAGACAGATATTTAAAAAAAAACCTCAACAATTTTTGTTTGAAAACAGCAGGGCATACTTTTTAATGGATAACAAATGAAACTGAAAAAAGTGTTTGAATATAGAATGCACCGAGAAATATTTACCGGCACAAAAGTGAGTGATGTGTGACTAAAACCATGACAAATAAACGATACCTATCCAAAGCTGACAACTCTTAATTAATTGGCTGGTAATCGTCTGCACATAATGGGTTTTGAGACAGAACGCTTTACATGTATCTGAAGTAAACTTAAAATATCTTTATTAACCTTGGGATTAATCTTCATTAATCTCTTTACTTAATTATTTTCTTCCCCTTTTGCAAAGATGGAAATCCGCAACTAGTTAAAAATTCCTTTATGATTAACCGCTGAGTTAATTCTTTTAAGGTGTGGCAACAAAAACATGGCTGAATGTTTTTTTTTTAATTTTACTGGCTGAACGGAATTTTTTGAAGTGGTATGTTAGATGTGTGCATTAAGCATGGATACCTGGCCTTCGTTTTTATTTTGATCAAATAAAATGGCAGGTGATTTTGATGAGGGATTGTATTTGCCAAAAATGTATCATTTTTTGTTGACAAATATCCGCAGTTACATGTGTTATCCGCTCTGATTTACTTAAATTGTTTGCTTAAAATATTATTTGATCTCCAGCTTAAAGGTGAAAAATTAGCAGTTTTCATTAAAATTTGGAAAGATCCTTGCTCGTTTTTATTCGAGTTTAAGAAGCAATAAAATAATATCATGGTATACATCTCTATATTGTATTTTATTTTTCATCGTAATGATTGTGTAATTAGCCTCGAATAACGCAGCACGTTTAACTGTCTAATATTGCCATTTAGTTATTTTTCAATCTAAAAAGTTTCATCAAGCAGAGAAAAGTACTTTCTTCTACTCTATTTGAAGTTTTTATCGTTTTTTATTGTTTTTGATAAACTAGAGATCAAAACTGAATCGTGAGCAGCATTAAGTAGACCGATAATTGTTAGAAACTATTAACTTGGTCTATGTGTACTTGAAAATTTATCGTTTGATATTTTTAAACTCAAGCTTTGAAATCAAGTAATATAAAAAATTTATTAACTACAGATTTTACCCATTTGAACTTTTTCTCATTTATTGGACTTCAACAAATAGAATTGAAAAAAATAACAATCAACAGACTTTATCAACTTGATCGTAGTTAATCATTGATTGGACTTGAAAAAGATGCAGCAACATTCCAGTCTTCATGGAAACAGAAAACAACACAACCCAAATGCAATGTACGAAGAGCCACTGTCTGGCAGAGAAGCGTGGTGGAGGTGAGAAAATAACAAGAAAACTTTCTGACTATTCCATCAAAAAAATGCCCAAATTCGGAATTTTTTTTTCAAAAATTTGTCTCAAATTTTTTTTCAATGTGCCCTCCAGTCAAAATTTTTGAAATCTGCCCTCCAAACGATGAAACCCTAGATCCACTCCTGATGTATTTTTAAGAATTTTTTTATCCTTTAGAATTGGACGAGAGCTCAAAAATTTGTTCACTCGACCAAGAAAAAGTTATTCAAAGAGTTTGGTTTTGCAAATGTTTTAAAATCTACCACCTCTTCGCCACTTAAGAAACTTTTGTAACTCAAAAAATTGGGAAAAGTTTGTACTTCTAAGAAAAATTTAAAAAGAAGTTTGGTCACCTGAAACTTATTCACTAATAATAAAATTAACGTGATACGTGAATTTTCAAACATTGATTAACGAACTCTCCTAGTCTAGAATGCGAAAACTCACCATTTCAATATGGCAGCTAATTTGAAAACCAAAAGAAATTTTGAGGATTTTTGTGGAGGGAAAAAGTTCTGGGAAATCGCTGCCCCCTCCCCCCTCTCCCTCCCCCAAAGTATAGTGTTGAAAAAGTGCCAATTGGTGAACACACTTGGTCTTTGGCACATGAAATTCCACAGTTTTTCTTCGTTTCTTATTAACAAAGTATTTTAATTTAGCCCCAATAGCCCGGGTTGACAAAAAATGCTTATCATACAATTCTCATAAATAGGAAACTTCTTTTCATACAATTCCATACGTACAGAAAATTGTATGAAAACTCTATGATAAACAATTTTCCATAAATGGAAATTGTATGATAGGGATTTTCTCCATAAACCAAAAAGTTGGTTATTGTTGCTTTTTTTTATTTTCTGACAAATTTTCGGTTGAGCTGTCTTTCACAAATTATACAAGACTGCTCGTATCAGGGCGAAGCCCCGAATGTTCCGACTGCCTTTTAAGGTAATAATGAGCAGTAATAACATTTAAAAATTCAATGAAATAAATTAAAATGAAATTTTTTTTTCTAAATTTCCAAATTTCTTATGAAAATGATCCCCCCACGCGCCGTATAAAGTACAAAAGATTTTTACTCCTTGTAACAACCCAATTATGGCAAATAAGCTTCTTATAACCAATTTTGAACGATTTCTAAGACGGATTAACTCTCCGCTTACGCGTTAATAGCGCGAAATATATCGCCCATTAATTGTCCCAAATTGGCCAAAATGGCAATCTTTAAACCCCCGCAACTTTACGAAAATTGATCACAGGTGAAATATATTTTCAAATTTGAGCTCAGGACAACAATACCTTTCGAATGATATAAAAAATTCCGTCAAAAATGGCTAGTTAAAAAGTCGAAATTTGTCTGAAGAAAAAAACCCCACCCCGGGCGTAAATATTCCGCTACTTTCACAAACATTCGTAACAAACTTTTAAATTTTGGCAAAATTTTTTAATGATGTTTTTTTTTAAATTTTTGAATTTTCAAATTATCATACATTGATCAAGGCATACAAAAACACGCCATACAAATAGAAATTTTCAGTGTTTTTGAAAAAATAATATAAGTGAAAAGAAAAAAAAGCCATTATTATCGTATCTAGGACTACGTTATGCACACCAAAAAATTAAATTTTACATGCAAAAAATTTTTTTTCGGAAAATGTTTGTTTGCGTACAAAACTAGATTTGGGGTTGAAAGAAAAACAAAAAAATTTTTTGGGGCAAGTCTTCAAAATTACTGAAAAATTTTTGTGTCATATATGGAAATTGTATGGCAAGCATTTTTTTCAAAAAAATTCAAATCAGTTTTTTTTGTCACCAGTCTGTTCAACTGTTCTCAAAAAGCCGCAGAAATGGTTTAATTTTTTTTCTATTGTTTTTCGAAAATGTAATAAAATTGTATGGTAAGCATTTTCTCCATACACTTAATGTATGGAATTGTATGATAATGATTTTTGTTGTATGGAATTGTATGATAAGCATTTTTGCTGTATGGAGGTCAACCTGGGAGCATGCAAAATTATTATGGAAACGAAAAGATTATTGATGGAGGTGGGAGAGGGGGGCAATGTTACAATTAAATTTTGTTTTGAGGGGGCGATAAGGGGTTGAGAGGTGTTGATGGGGAGGTTGAAGGGGGTTCGGGAGGAGGGGGGGTGTTTAATGTTGAGAGTAGATGATGGGGTAGGGCTGGAGGTAAGGGGTAGCCATCAGGAATGCTGGGGTGGAGGTTTAGTTAGGGGTATGCCCAGGGGAAGGCTGGAAAAGATTTTTTGATTTTATAATCTGTAGATTGTTTGATGTTCTGTAGACAAGAACTGAGGTCGACGCCAGTGCCTGGTTCCTATTCGCACAGAGGCATGAGTGAGGAGTTGGAGTCTAGATTATGCAATTACTCCTTCCGCTCCTCCGGCAGATCCAGACCCGCCCATTCTACCCTCCCGCGCACCGGTAAGAGTAGTGAATAGTACATCCAAGGCAAAGCAAAAACAAAAGGTGAATTCTTCATAATGAAAATTACAACCAGAAGGCGGATTTCTTTTTTCTCCAAAACTTTTTTTCGAAAAAAATATTCGGAAAACTTATTGATTTATTAAGAGAAATGAATAATACATCCAAAAGCAAAAAAACGCCCGAAATCTTTATAATGATTGTTACAAACAGAAGGCGGATCTCTTTTTCATTACGAGGCCAAACTGTGCATTTTGTGCATTGTAAGCGGGTTCCGCAACAAGGACGCTCCCTTTGTTCTTCTTCTTTTGTTCTTTACTTTCCTTTGATCGTTCCGACAAAATTTTCACATGTTTAAAGACTTGTCTCTGGAATCCAGGAACATACAGACACAAAATTGTGCTCCTATCCAGTGCACAGTTTGGCCTCGTAATGTTTCTTGAAAAAAAATTTTCCCAAAAAAATATTTGAAATATTTATTGATTTCTTAACAGAAGTGAATAATACATCAAAGGCAACACAAAAAAAACATGAAATTTTTATAATAAAAATTGTAACCAGAAGGCGGATCTCTTTTTTCTCTGAAACTTTTTTCGAAAAAAATATTCGGAAAACTTATTGATTTATCAAGAGAAATGAATAATACATCCAAAGCAAAAAAAAACGCCCCAAATCTTCATAATGATACTTACAACCAGAAGGTGGATCTCTTTTTCTTGAAGGTTTTTTTTCGAAAAAAAAAAGATTCGGAAAATGTAATCACTTTTTTAACAGAGGTGAATATTACATCCAAGGCAAAGCATAAAAAATGCCCAAAGTACTTATACAGATAGTTACAACCAGAAAAAGATTTTTTTTTCTCGCAGGTTTTTTCTTCGAAATTTTTTTTTCAAAGTTATTGATTTAATGAGAGCAGTAAATAATACATCCAAGGCAAACAGGGGTGATTTCGGGGGAGGGGGGACACGCCCTCCTCATGGATTCGACATTCTAATGACACAGAGGATTCCCGTTTTTACTATTTTGACATATCCATATTTGGCTGACAGACCCAAAAAAAATTTTAAAGTCGCCTTTTCCGCAGATATATACTAATTTTGAGGGGTGCATTTTTTGGCTTGTTTTGTTAACATTATTTTGCCCGCTGCGCAGAAAATTTGGCCAAAACAGGGTCTTTTTAAGGCTTTGATAGAGCTCGGAAAATCAACTTGGTCGACCCTAAAGGAAGGTCAACAAAATCGATAATATCCTTGATCCGCCCCTGAAGGTAAATAAAGAAGGCCCAATAGCGACCAGGATTACAACTGCTGATTTTGCCTAATTTAAGCCCTAAAAACTAGGTTTTAAATAAGTAAAAACAATTTTTAGAGTTTTTAGCGCCATTTTAGAACCAAAAAACTTCTACAACTCAAACTTTTGAAGCCAAAAACATTTTTTTGTTCTAGCCTTTTTTCAGTAGAAATTTTTTTCCTTTTGCTTAAGTTACTATGCCTCTCGAATCTGCCTAAATTATAGTGTTGTCTTACTTCAGATGCTTTCATCACGCTCAAAAAAAACGAACACCAATTTGAAAAAAAACTTGTTTGTAATTTTTTAGATACCATGACCGGAACATTCTGCACAGAAACCAACTTTCCTTGTTTAAGTTTTGCAAGCTGTTAAACGTTTTTCTATCATTTTACAGAATTTAAAGAATGTGTTAGTTTGTTTAAATTTCGCATAGTTTTCAGTTTATAATTTATGAAAGTCAAATTTGATTCAACGAACAAAAAAATTCTCAGACTGAATTTAGTGATACACAAGACTGCTGATATAAGGGTAAAACCCGAATGTTCCGACTGCCATTCATAGAAATGTGATCAAACAGCTTAGAAATTGATCCCTCGAGAGAGCTGAGTTTTGTTAAAAGTTGTCTTGATATTAAAAAATACCCGCAGCATTTTTATTTCTCACTTTCTTCGAAAGTCTGAACAACAGCTCTTTTGATGGACCAATTTTTTATTTTTTCCCAAAAAGGCAATTATAGCCTTATCAACAACATCTACACGCACTCGAAGTTCTCAGAAATGGTTTTCAAATGAAAAACTTTCAATATGATGCATCATTTGATTTTGACTGTATATTATTAATTTGCATTATATAGGAAAGTTTAGCTTGGAGGCCGGGAGATAATTGTTTTTCTACAACTAAGCATTTTTGATTTATAAAGGCCAATATTAATCCAATTTATGATAAAAAAAACGGAATAATTATGCTCGTTGGATTTTTTCTTTATACAAATTTTGACATTTATTTATCAATAATTTTTCATCTGAAAAGTATCAATCTTTCAAGCTCAAAAACAAAAAAAGTCTGGAGTTATGGTGGATCGAGTTTGTGAAGTGAACACTGATTGTAATTTGGACAATTAAAGCGAAATATCTATGTTAAGTGTGGTTTTTTTTATTCAATCATTTTTCGACTTTTTTAACAATTTTTTTCTTACCATATGAAAAAAAATTGTTTTCCTGTGCGCAAACTTTTTTTGAAAATAAACGTTTTAACTGTGAGTGTTTTTCATAAAATTATGGAAGTTTGAAATTTGATAATTTGGTTAATTTGGGATAACTCGCGCGCAATATAGTGCGTTTTTGTAACATGCGTAAGTGGCAAATTAATTCAACCTCAATTGAATTGAGGCAAGACTTTTGGTCGTATTAATAGGTTACAAAATGCCAATTACATTCGTTTCTAGTTTTCATTAGCGTGTTGGGAGTTAAAATAGAAAAATTGAAAAAAAATTATTTTTCAATTATTTTGTCACTTCTTCCATCAAATAATTGTTCAATTAGCATTAAAGTGCAGTCGGAACATCTAGGGCTTCACCTTGATGTACGAATTCTTTTTTTCTTACTATTACCGTACGAGACTCAAACAGTATCACTTTGTAATTCAAACTTTACATAGCTTAAAGAGCATATGACTAGCTAAAATCATGAAATGAAAGGACCAAAACTGCGTCATTCTTCAAAAAAAAAACAATTTAAAAAACATGGCTCAGCATTTCAATCAATTTTTCGAGCAGATGAAACTATTAGCCGGAATGATCAAAAATGCAGAATTTTTATTTTGTTGCAGCCTTTTTACTATTTTTTTGTTTGGGCAAAGTTTCACATGTGACTTGAAAATTAATTGATTACTTGACAGTCTCACATTTTAGTTTGGGCTAATGAAAAGGCTTGAAATGTCTGACCGTGTTTTCTGAGAATTTAATTTCATAAAGTTTGAACAATCAGATTCGACCAGTTCAAGTATTGAAATCAAATTTCAGTTCAAGTTATATAAGTATTGATTTTGGGCTGTTTAGTACATAAGACCTCTGCTCGTATATAATAGTAAAGCCCTGAAAGTTCTGACTGCCATTTAAATGGTCTCAATTAGTTTTGGTGAAGAAAACTTTGATAGGACCAAGTTAACATCCTCCCCTTAAAGCCGTTTAACCTGGTTCTGTGTTCGAATTTTCAGTCACTCAGAGTATAATATTTTACACGCAGCGCTTAGTAACATCCTCCTTAAATTGAATGCTGGTGTGGTCAATGGGGGGGGGGGCTATACATTTTAAATCGCTGTTTGTTTTTCGTTGCAATTAAGTCATATAGTCTATGGGTAGTATAACAACCTCATATGACAAATTTGATTGCTTTGTTTCAATTCTGAATAGTTTTGATAATTCACATCGCAGAATTTAGCAGAAAATTTTCTCAGTACAAATTAGTTTAAAAAATATATAGCCAAATTGGCTTTTTTTACAAGCCCCACGAACTTTATTTAAAAAATTGCAGGTTAAATATTTTTATTAGTGTTACAAAAAATTGTTAAAACATTTGTCTAAAATTGGTCTGTTGTTTAAAAAATTGGTCTGAAAAAAAAATCACTCCAACCATTTTTTTTCTTAGTTCTTTGGATGTCAGAGCAATTATCGGCTAAAAAGCTGCCTTCTTTGTACAGAAGGTGATAAAATTATTTTAGTCAGCTCAAATCATAAAATGATATCTTTTTTTTTAAGTCGAGTGTGGATGATTAATTATACTAGCAGTTTGTTTGCTCTAACTTATTTTTCAATTGAGCGCCACAATTGAGCGCCAGTTTATTTTGCAGGGCACTATGGTAGAGTTAATAACTTTGTATTGTGGTGTGATTTGAGGTTCTGAGCTGATGCCAGGCCAGTACAACTTCGAGGACTTCTTCCTGACGATGTTGAAGAAGCCCCAACTGAGCTCAATGCGTGCCCCTCCCCGTCAAAGTCTAGTGGACGAGACCAACAACAATGTCAACATAGCCCCCGGTAAGCTTATATTCATAGCTAATGCCAAATTGCTTGCAATATCGGTGACCTTGATCTTTAATCTTTTGAAAATTCATCTCTCAAAAAGGGCACTTTTTAGTTAATAAAAAATTATTGAAATATGACACAGCTTTTAAAATGCTGAAATGATGAAAAATTTGATTCAGACGTCAAATGAGCAGTTTTATCTTGATTAACTTCGTTCAGGATCGTTGACTGAAAAAGATTTTGCCAAAAGTTTTGCAATAAATAAACATCAACGGATGTTTTGACGTTTATTGCCAAGGGTGTTAATGATCCATACCCAGTGAAAGCAAGGCTCTTTTAATTTTCAACGTTTTCCGATTTCTTTTCGACTATTTGACAGACTAAAAACTGGATGCTGGACGTTCCTTTTTCACGCAAAGTCAGTCATAGTCAAAAAGAAACATCAGGTAACAAGGCTGATGACAATCGTTCGTATTCAGACGTGAATTTGAAAATTATGGAAAACAATTTCTGTGACAAAAGAGATCTGAATATTTCTTTAATGCGTTATTAAAAGACTTGAATGACTAGGTGAGAAATTGGTTTGCCTTCTAACTAGCAAAATATTTCATTTTTCCATTGAAACTGTGTGAGGAAGAACGGTTTATACAAAAAAATCCATTTTTTTCTCTTTTTTTTCAAAAACTGCTGAAGTCTGTTTAATTCGTGCAAACGCTGTGCTCAGGAACTTATTCGACGGAGACGTACAACACTATATCGGCCGAGAAGTTGCCATCCCACCATGTCATGTTCCGATCGGCTGAGCCGAGAGCGTCTCGTGTATTTGACCCGAAGAAGGGACCTCCTCCCGGGGGATACGAACTGCCCAAATCTCCGCCGAAACATGTCGTCAAGTGAGCGAAACCTATTAATTCTGAAAAAAAATGTGCCAAAAAAGTTATTGGACACACTCTTTGCAAAACTATGATGCAAAAAATTTTGGCTCGCATTTTTGCTCACAATAAACATACAAAAATGGCAGTTCAAAAATGGCAGTCAACCCTCACACCCCCACCCCCCCCCCCACACTAAATATTTTCCTGCGAAGCAAATTTCAAGCAAATTTTAATCGATTAGATTTCAATTTGATGTAATAAACTTTTTTATTTGTCTTAATGAGTTACCTTGTTTTTTTTGCTTTAGAAAGGGCGGTTTGATTTAAAAGGATCTTAACTTTTGTAGGTCAAGTTTTCTGAGCTCGGTGCCTCGATTCACCCGACGCACTACACTGACCCCGGGTCCAGGGGCATACGGCGGGATGAGTCTCACCCCCTCCTCCAAAGTTCTCAAGAACCAGCTGGGGAAAAACACAGGTCTCTTCTTCACCCCTAGCACTGCCATGGCTTGAACTGCAGTCCGCAACGACACAGAGCAGAAAAAAATCAGTTATGGTTGTTAACGGATAAGTGCACTGCCAATGTACTAAGAACAGTTTAACTCCAATTAAGTTTATGAAATAATTCTAATTTTCAAATTGCTTCAGTAATTAAAAAATCTGCTTTCAGAAGACTGTTTTAATAACATCTGTATATGAAAAAAGTTTTTCTTCCGACTTTTGACAGAAGTGAGGATTTTTTTTTGCATGGGGGTATTTTTAAAATCATTTGTTTTTCGACTTTTTAACTAAGCGTTTTTGAAAGATTTTTTATACCATCTGAAAATCCGGAGCTCCAATGAAAAATCATTTTTCGTTAAGTTATAGGTTTCTGAAAACTGCTAATTGGACCAGTTTGGGATAATTCTTATATCAGGCGTCAGCGGCGGATTGAATTCTTCCAATTTTTTAGTTGGTTTTAGTATTACAAAACGGCACGCTAAATACATCTTTTTGTGCTTTACAAAGCGTGTGGGGAGTTGGGGGGGGGGGTTTAGGTAAAATGATTTTCTTGTTCAATTACAACAATACCTTTCGAATGATATAAGAAAACTCAAAAACAGCTAGTTGAAAAGCCGAAATTTGTCTGAAGAAAAAAGCACAAAAATATTCCGTTACTTTCGTTACGAAAGTCCGCGAAAAACAAAAAAAAATAATCGAAAAGAGGTTTGTGTCTCCTAATCTAATGCAAACGCATTAAACCGGGCTTGAGACATGTGTCGATCATGGTTGATACATGAGTGGACTAGGGTAGATAGGTGATTTGACGACAGTCGATACGCGATTCGAACAAAGTCGATCACGGTCAAAATATGAGTCGAACAGGGTCGACCAAGATGAATAAATAAGTCAGCCTGGTAATTTTTCTGGTTTGTTTTTTGAATTTTTCATCATTTTTTTTAAATCAAACATGAAGCTTCACCCTGATAAGAGGACTCCTGATCGTGCTTGTGACCAGATTTTTAAACTTTCTGTGGTAATTTCTCAAACAAAAAGACAATCACCCGCATCTAAGCCTAGGTGTAATTAATTGCTTAAAACGGATTATCATGTCAATTTTTCGACATTTATAATTGATTATAATTGCCAAAAGTAGATAAATAAAAGATTTATAGTCAATTATAATTG